TTTAGTCATAGCTTGATTATGGGCTGAACTCTTAATTTTTCTGTTGTATTACTAGGTATGAGGTTCCTTTCATCCACTTTCCAAAATCAACCTTGTTGATGTGATGTCGTGACTAGAAAGATTGAATTTTTATTATGAATATTTTACGAAAATATTTTCTTTTCAATTTATTGTGTGAATTGTAGTTTCTTTCTTTCCTCAACTCTTGCCCTAATAGCTAAATAAATAATTGGCAACCTTCTCTGGAGTTAAATAGAAAAGATCAGGTTACTGCATAGTGCTAACTGCTTTGAAGCGAAAATGTCATTATGTGTAGTGTCATTCAAGATTGGTTTTTATAATCTGTTCATGTATACATGCATATGTCTTTTTTGAATATTTGGGAACTTCTGACAATGGATTTTTGTGGAGTGGGATTTCATTTAACTTCTCTGGGTTTTGCTTATTTGTTATTCTCCAAGATCTGTACTCTTTCATTAGAGATTTCCTGCCTTTTCCATCATTCTTGTGAAGTGTTATATTCATTTGGCTATAGTAGTTGTCTTAAGATAAGACGTCGATTTGAGTGTTTTGAGTGGTTTGGCTACAGCAATTTGAATTGCATTTTGGTCTAGACTAATTTGTTTCTGTTTTGAGATTTCACTTTTAGAAAGAACAGTTTCCCCCCTCTCCAGATGCTGTAGAGCATTAGTTATGCAGTTTTAAATTCATTATTGGATTCATAATGTAATGTACAGCTGTGAGTATTTAAAAGAGGGTCCTCTACTTGTGGAGAGGATCATTATGAAGCACCAATTCCTATAGTTTAAGCCACCTAAAAGTGTTTAGTACTAAAAAAAAGCCACCTAAAAGTGTTTAGTACCAAAAAAAAAGCCACCTAAAAGTGCACAAAGATTGATGCTTTATGGGAATTCCACTTTAAATTGCACAATTTGGATGTTTTAGATGCTTGGGATCAATTACCGGATCTATATGCTTGGATTTTCTCTATTTTTTCTCTCTTCTTTTTTTATTATCTAAGTGTTTCAGTGTTTGTGCTTGGATATACACAGGTTGCTAAGGATCCATCTGGCAAACAGATCAATGCACTGGAGCAGCACATAAAAAATCTTCTCTCCCCATCTACTCCTTTTTTCTTCAACACTCTGTATGATCCTTACCAAGAAGGCACAGACTTCGTCCGTTTATACCCTTTCGGTCTACATGAGGGTGTACCAACTGCTGTTTCTCATGGCCTTTGGCTCAACATCCCAGATTATGATGCTCCCACCCAGCTTGTCAAGCCTCTTGAGCGAAACACAAGGTGTGGTGTGGTCTTTTGCGTGGCAGAAGATCCCGATATGTACCCTCTTTCCATGATTGGTGTTTGTTAACCATTTTCTTATCTTTATCAGGTATGTCGATGCGGTTCTTACCGTGCCTAAGGGCACCCTGTTCCCTATGTGTGGTATGAATCTGGCATTCAACCGGGAAATGATTGGTCCTGCAATGTACTTTGGACTCATGGGTGATGGTCAACCAATTGGGCGCTATGACGATATGTGGGCTGGCTGGTGCACTAAGGTAAATCCATCTCTCGGTTCCTTCTTTTTGTTATGAGTTTTATTGTGATACTATGAAGCTAGCTCTTTGTTCTTGTATGAATTGTCTGTTTTCCTGCCTAATTAGTTATGAATTTCTCATGTTGCCTCAAAATGTGGCATAAATACAAAGAAAACTTTTGGCATAGAAAAATGTTGAAATTTTGTCCCTCTGGTTTGTGATTTTGTAGGTGATATGTGACCAGTTGGGGTGGGGTATCAAAACTGGTCTGCCCTACATCTGGCACAGCAAAGCAAGCAATCCATTCATGAACTAAGAAGGAAGACAAGGGTATTTATTGGCAAGAAGAGCTGATCCCTTTCTTCCAGTCAGTAACCCTTCCAGAGGAATGCACCACTGTTCAGATGTGTTACGTTGAACTCTCCAAGCAGGTCAAGGCTAAGCTTGGGGAAGTAGATTCCTACTTTGCCAAGCTAGCAGCAGATGCCATGGTCACATGGATTGAAGCTTGCCAAGCTACCTAATGGCACTGCATAGAGAATCTTGGTTAACGGTTACTACTATTTATCTTGGTAGTTGCCTCACTGTTGTATTTTCCTATATTTCTCTAAGCTTTTTTAGATGAGAGCTTGGAGCATTTTTTTTTTCTGCAGATGGATGCATGTAATTTATTTTTGAGTTTAGAACAATAAAATATTGGTTTTGGTATTGAAATTAAGTTTTTGCACCACTTGTTTGGTTGATAAATAAGACAATAACTAGGGCCTTGTCCTCCTCTCTCCAGCATAGTAGTTTCCTGTTTTCTGTAGGGTAGTCATTGCTCTGGTAAACTGGTAACGATGCAGAAACCTCTATCATTGTGATCCACTTGTTGGAGAGATTAACTTGGGAAGTTGAAAAAAGAAATGAGACTTCTAAAATCTATAAGTTGTAGGGGGTATTCTCCCATGTCAATTGTAAGTTCCAAAATCAAATATCAAAACCTGGTTTGAAAACAATTTGATTTTTAAAACAAAATTACAGAAAACAAGTTACTGGTTACACGTGTTTTTGCTTTTAAAATTGAAGACAAAAACGTGTTGTTGAATTTCTGGTTTAGTATAATCTGTATTCAAAATCTGTTGTTGTTAAACAAAACCAACACAGTTGGTTCAAGAATTTGCCTTTTTTTGCTGATGTGGCAATTTCAAAAACAAGTGGAAACAAAAACATTCGTGTTGCAGAAAACCTCTTTAAAAAGCAAATTTTTAGGACAATTGTCCTATGAAAATATTCAAAACAAATTTTTAAGACAATTGTTAGAATATTTATCGGGTGCTTATTGATGATTGTGCTCACAAAGCTGTGCCTACTGCTGGAGTCTGGTTTTTTATTTATTTCGCTGATGTAGGTTCTACTCCGAAAAAAAACATTTCACAAAGAGAAAGTTTGTACCATTTTCTTTGAACATCTGATACTCGAATACAAAATTAGAATGTTTGTTTTGCTGGATGTGTTAACTGCCCTAAGAATAGGGGTGGCAAATGGTTGGGTTGGGTGTGGGTTGAGTACCAACCCACTCATGTTGACCCACTGACCCATTTGCCACGTTAGGGTCACAACCCACTTTGACCCTGACCCACCCCAACCCATGCTCCATTTGACCCTTTAATTCAATTATGACTTTTTTTTACTTTTTTATATTTTAATTATATAAAAACATACAATTATATATTTCAATTATAAAAAGATAAAAAAAAAACATTTTTTCCAAATAAAGATAAAAATGCATAAAAACACATTAAATGGCAAAAAAATATGTTCCTTGTAAAAAATCAGAAATTGTAGAAAAAATAGAAATGATAAAAAAATAAAAAAAATTAAATAACAACATCAAATAAAAATTATTAAAAAACATAGAAAATTAAAGAAAATACAAAAAAAAAAATTGCAGGAAAATGCCAAATTATAAGTGGTTATTAAATCATCATCATCACCATCTAAGCCTTATCCGAATATTTTATACACACACAGCCTGATATAGACCCAACTTTTGGCACATGGAATATCCTAAATGAAGTCATGAATATTTATTTTTACAAGATGTTTTATAAAATATGCAACCTTTGAAGAAGCTAACAGTAGGTGTGTTCACGGTTTGGTGTACCTAATTTTGAAACTGAACTGGTATGATCGGTTTTCGAAAAACCCGTAATTGAAATTGATCGATTAACCAAATGATTGGTTTGGTTCATCGGTTTTTTGGTTTTTTAAGATTTACAATATATACTATAAAAGAATATATAAATAGATTATAATAAAACTAAAAATATATGTATATATAATACTATATTTTAAATAATAAATAATATATTATACATTATAAATATATATTTATATAATGTATATTTATTAATTTATAATATATAAAAAATATAAAATATATGTATACCAGTCGATTCGATTAACTATTGGTTTTCTATATTGATTAACCAAAACCGAACTGATACCTTTGATTTTTTAAAAATACTGAAACAAAATCGAACCAACCGGTTTGGTTGACCAAATTTTTTATTTCGTCGGTTTTTCATTTTTTATTGCTCACCCTAGCTAATAGGGCCATTAGAACCTTGCATAATCAATATACTTTGCGTGGGGTGAGTGAGTTGTATTGCTATGATGTGCCTTAGCAATTTCTATTCATGTTTTACATTTCAAGGGATTGGGTCCTATCCAAGTCAGATATATTGATGCCTGATGGTGAATGGAAGCTACTTGCTTCCTAGATTCCTAGAGGACCATGTTAATTATAAGAATTGTGCATGAAGAATATTTTTGTAATAGAATAAATTAGTTAATTTTATAATCACATATATTATGTATTTTTCATTTTTTTACTCTCCCAATTATTCTGTATCTCTCGCCCGTGCGCCCCTCGCTAGTTTTCTATTAAACCAAATATAATCTTAATTTTTGGGCTGGCTTTGATTGATTGTTTTATATTTTTATCTGGTTCATTTGTTTGGCATGGTCCGGCTCATCCGGCCTGATATCATTGTTCACGTATAAAAAAGTGGACATGGAGGGTGTTCTCCAATATATATGATTAATGTTTCTTAAAAATAAAATAAAAACAGCTTCCACATAAGCAGAAGTAATATTTGCAGGCTTAATAGATCCAATACAAAGGCTTAACCTATTTTAGCTTTCTAATTTAACCTAATTTACCCCTAAAATTGACATTTTGGTAAAGCTATCTCAAAAAGGCTTCTCCAAGGCAGTTCAATCAACGCAGAAGACTTCCCAAACAGCCTCCAAGGCTTTATTTCCCGGATGGTCCGGGTTTAAAAAATGGCAATTTCTATGATGCCGAAAGGGTTCTAAATTTAATGTTTTATACCGGAAGAATTTTGACCAACTAGAACCCGCTATTAATTTGAATTTTAATGATTGGTTACCACTTCTAATATATCAGTTTGCTTTTTTTGTATCATAGTCCGATTCGTTTACTGCTTTCTTCAACTGGTTATTCATTGGAAACGTTTAAACCCAAGATATTTGAAACAAGGATAATTTCCCAATTCTGAAGTTCTAACCTTGCCATTGTTTGAATAAATAATTTTACCAGAACAAACCTGTTTTTATTTAATCTTTCTTTATTATAATTTCTGCGGGCGCCCCTCTGAGATTACAGACCTCTCATCAGCTTGTCAGCATCTTCTGATTATTATAAAAAGAAAAAAAACAGAAGCACGTGAGCCTCCATGAGACTGAAGTTTGTAGACCAGGTTGTATATCCCAATCCAAACACAAGTCTTTCAAGGATCCCAGCTAATATCCTCCTGTATCCATACATTTGCTGGACCTCAGGATCAGTGAATATTATTTTGTGGGGGTAAAAACTAAAAAGAAATCTTCCTTCTTGCTTTAACCTATCAATTTTCAGTTATATTGAAGTTGGACCTTGGCAGGAAGAAAGTCCTCGAAAAAGGGTTGCGACTAGTGAGCACAGGAAGTAGACGGTCTGTGGAGAAAGAGAGAGAGATGGGTGGGGAAGCGGGAGATGAAGGAGTAATGGCCACGGATTTCTTCTGGTCATACACAGACGAGCCTCACGCTTCGAGAAGACGGCAGATTCTGTCTCAATACCCACAGATCAAAGAGCTCTTCGGGCCCGATCCTTGGGCCTTTCCCAAGGTATCTCCATTTCCTTTCTATTTTAGTTGTTTTCCCGATAATGTGAACTCGTTTTCTGTTTGGTTAATTATGAGCATTCTTATACTAGCGATTCGTGTTGGGTCTTAAATCTTCTCTGTGTGTTAAAAGTTTGATCTTTTTTCTCTCGTTGATGGTCTTTGTCATTCTGTTCATATTATTTCCTGGGTCCTTTTCTTCCTCCGGTTTTGGTACTTCTGTTTTAGAATATGGTTCTCGAGAATCTCAGATTCAGCTTCTGTGTTATTTTACCTATATTATCTGATCTTTTCTGAAACCCCATGTGAATTGATATTTTAATGTTGAGTTTTACAGTCATTCACTTTGGTTTTATCTGCAAATCATGTTTTTTGGTCTAGACCTACTTCAAATTTCATGCATTTACTGTTTTTTTTTTTCGTTGCTCTAAGTTGAGAGAAAATGGAGCTAGAGTTAGTTCTGAACATATCAATTGGAATCGATTTGCAGTATGAACTGGCATGATTTGTCATATGTTGTATTGTGGGGTCCTTCCTCTTCCATTCGGATCTAATGATTTAAGTGATTTCTATGTTTGGTTGATTTATTGTATGCATCAAGTCTTATCCATATTTCTGTTCGGATCCCTGGTTCCCTCCTGAAGTTTGATTATTTTGTTTGTTCGATCTTCATTTGGTCGAAATTTTTTCTACATTTTAAAAATTCTACGGGGAAGCTTGTAGGGACTGTCACACTGAGGCGTGAGAGAGCAATTTTGATAAATGATTTAAAGATTGAACTGTGAGATCCATTGTCTATTGATCTAGCAACCCAACTTAATTCTGTTGATTGGCTTTTGAAATGTATTTTCTCTTTATTAGTTGTTCTAGTCTCTGGGAAGTAGATCTTCTTGTGTTGTTTCTGGTGATAGAAAAGGCGAATCTCTCCATATTTGGAGATCTTATCTAGTTGAAAAATATGGTGTTATCTACAAGATTTACACACTTCCTTGCCCTCATCTTTTATGCTGCTAGTTTTTGCATCCAGCCCTGTTTTCATGTTTTAATTTATAACATTATCAATATTTATCAAAAAAAAAAATTATAACATTATCAACTTTTTCCTCAACGATATTAATGGCCATTATCATGAATCTGGCCATAGTTGTCAAGGCAATGCCTAGGCGACAAGGCGCCCTTGGAGGCTTGCCTTGCCTAATCGCCAAGCAGTTTTTTATAGCGTGTTATAAAAAACTTTTATATTCTTAATCTTTTTTGGTTATAATTATAAAATAGATATTTTTAAACTAAAATATTCATTTTGTGTGTTTATATACTAATTTATTTTTATTATTTTCTTATTTGTTAGGGTTTAATCAACACCAACATTGCTAAATGCTGTATTGAACCTTCAAAGACTTCAAAACCTGAACCAATAAGTAAGGAAGAACATAAAATGTTGTCTAGTCAACACATTTTCTTCTTTTTCTTTACTAATTTTGTGTGTTTATATACTAATTTCTTCTTCTTCTTCCACCTTTTCTTTTCTTCTTTTCCTATAACAGAAATAGGGGTTTAGCCCTTATAATTTTTGAATTTTCTTTTCTTTCTTCCTTTTCTTCTCATGAATATGTTGGAATATGTTGATTTTCTATACTTTAACATGAAGTTTATACTTTTCTTATGAAAATTTTGGATAGTTATTAAGGAAATATGATTATGGAACCTAGGGAACTACCCTAGGATACATACTTTTACTTGAAAAAAAAACAAACATCGCCTAGGTGACAAGGCGCCCCCCCTGTCGCCTAGCCTCGCCTTGGTGCCTTGAAAACTATGAATCTGGCCTATGGATAGACAGGTTATAGACAAATTTATCTAAACAAATGAAGGTACGATTGAAGTGCATTTGTTTCATCTCTCCAATGAAATGCTACTTTTGCAGGCTAAAGTATTCTGAATCCAGCAAACAAAGAGTGTTTTGAATGCTGTAATTTAATTGCAGCTGAAGAAGTATTGATTGTGGGGATTTATGTTGTTTCATCAGCTACATCTTTCATCTGTTTGGCTTATTGATTCTTACACTTGATACTCTGGTGTTGCAGATTACTGTGGTTGTTTTGCTTCAGCTATGGACTGCAACTTCCCTCTGCAATGCTGGCTGGTTAAAAATTCTAATAGTTGCCTACTTTTTTGGCTCTTTTCTAAATCACAATCTCTTCTTAGCCATTCATGAGCTCAGTCACAACCTCGCATTCTCCACTCCGGTCTACAATCGCTGGCTAGGAATCTTTGCTAACCTCCCTGTAGGCGTTCCCATGTCGATTACCTTCCAAAAGTACCATTTGGAACACCACCGCTTTCAGGGTGTGGATGGCATTGACATGGACATTCCCAGCCAAGCTGAAGCCCATCTTGTTACAAACATCTTCACCAAGTCCTTATGGGTCATCCTCCAGCTCTTTTTTTATGCGCTGCGCCCCATCTTTCTCAATGCAAAACCTCCTGGTATGTGGGAGTTCACCAACTTGGTCACCCAGCTTGCTCTTGATGCTGTTATGGTCTACTTCTGGGGTTGGAAGTCTCTTGGTTACATGATCCTCTCTACATTTGTTGGAGGGGGGATGCACCCAATGGCAGGGCACTTCATTTCAGAGCACTATGTCTTCAAGCCTGATCAGGAGACTTACTCCTATTATGGGCCTCTGAACCTGCTTACTTGGAGCGTTGGGTACCACAATGAACACCACGATTTCCCAAGGATTCCTGGGAGTAAGCTCCACAAGGTGAAGGAGATTGCACCAGAATACTATCAAGGTCTCAACTCGTACAGATCTTGGAGCCAGGTAATTTACATGTACATCATGGACCGGACTGTGGGACCATTTAGCAGGATGAAGAGAAAGGCGTCCAAAAAAGATTTTGCAGTCAAGAAAGATAACTAGTTGCTGCCGTTGTTGATCTTTTACTTATTCTTTTTTTTTGGTTTTAATTTATCCCCTTGTCTTGTGGGGGTTGTTCTTACCAAAATTCTTTTTGGCTTGTACCCTTGTACTATTATTTAGGGGTCTGTAATTTGTTTCTTTTTTTTACCCTTTAGATTGAGGAATATTTCATCCATTAAGTGAACTTTTATATGCCATTGAAGTGAGGTCAGGCATCTTACTTTATCTTCGTCTTCTGCCTTCTTTTGGGAAAATTACTGATGATTATCCTGTACTTTGGTTCCAGTGATAATTTGGTTCCAGTGATTAACCACTTTGTTAATCAGTTGTTAAGTGACATTTGAAAAGTCAAAAATGTCCTAAGAATGTCATCTAATTCTCTTTATCAACCATCCAAACATCAACAATAAAATGAGTAGTCTCAAATTCTAGATTTTTTTTAATAGTCACCAATTTTTTTTTAACAGAAGATTTTAGGATTTGGGACTATTCAGTTTTTTGGCAACATTTGGATGGTTGGTAAAGAGAATTTGATGGCATTCTTAGGGAATTTTTTATTTTTCAAATGTCACTTAACGATTAATTAAGGAATTGTTAACGACAGGTACTGGATTGTCACATTTTAAAAGTTCGGGTACTGGATTATCACAGTTTAAAAGTTCGGATACTGGATTGTCACATTTTAAAGTTCAGGGACCAAATTGTCACTTGAACAAAAAAAGTACAGTATACTGATGAAAATTTTCCCTTAAATTAAAATGACCCCATTAACAAACTCTTCCTATTTTCGTTTTTTTTCCGGGTAATACACTCAAAAGGCTGCTGCACCTTGGGACACTGAGGACCCAGGCCAAAAATGCTCACGAGTGGCAATCGCTACATCAGCTGTTCAATTTTTGTTGACAGAAATTTGACAAGCTGTGGAGCGCTCATGCTTAATGCTCCATTGTCCATACCATTACTAACGGCATCTTATGAATTTTCGGTACCGTACAAGGTCACATCTCTTTGTCCAAGATTTTCATTTGGGTGTTATCACAAACAAGTGGAAGATGCGAAATTTTATTAGACCCATGTAGGGGCAATGCCAGTGGTACATACATCAGACCAAGGTTCAAAGTATCGATATTTATCATTCTGGGACCCCTCCAATATGCCTCTACAGTGGATGTATCGGGGGTCTGACCAGTTTAGGGGGTGGAAGAGCTCTAAACCAGCCCCCCTGAACCAGTTGCAAAAATAAAAAAAAAAAACAGTATCAATTCATCCGATACACCAGTGGGGGCATATCGGACATATCAATATTTTGAACCTTGCACCAGACTGTAGTGGACGTATTGAACTGTATCAATTGTCGCTCCCTTTTTTCATTTTAGTTTAGAGAGATAGGTTTAAGGCTTATCTATCCCTAAACCGGATTAGACCCCGAAACACTCCGTAGAGAGATAGTTCTCTCTCTCTATATATATCTCGGTTCTCAGCCGATAGGGCCGAAATTTTGCACCTTGGGTTGTATGCTTGTTCAAATTCATTGAACATGTATTTGTCCTTTCGTGATTTAGAGGTCATTGACAAGCACGGCCGGTCACACTAGCATCGGTCCCCATCAAGACGCTGTTCCTGCATAGTTGTGTACTTGTGTTATAGTCTACACACGGATCATCTATGATTCAAATAAATAGATTTTGCTCCTTTTAAAATTAGGGCACAATGGCTTTTAAAGGTTAACTATTCACCAAAATGGACAAGGCCAAAGGCCACTGGCACGCCTCTTTTTTTTTTTTTTTCTTTTCTTTTTTTTTTGTTTTTGTAAATTTTTGGAAGTTTGATGAAGTGGGTACTACAACTTCATAGGAGATTAATTTGGTTACGAGATTGGGCAGAGCATGTTTCAAACACAACAGTTTCATGGTTCTGGACAGGGCCGGCCACCAATTAGCAGCTTCACTGTTAATTCCATGACTGCCAAATACAAGCACTGCCCAACAAGTACATAGAATACTGGAGGGTATTCTGTTTTTCCAGAAGAAACTAAACTACAGATATGATACTCCGAATCTTGGCATCCTGCTTCAAAAGGGCCTTTTGACCACGCCCCATGCAGGAGTTGGTTCGTGAATGCACAGATCACAATATTAGCTTCAGACTAATTACCACACTTACGGATGCTCAGAATCCTTCTAGCAATTGGCAAGTTAGGTGTTCTACGATCTAAAGGATTGCTGTCATTGTCATACGCAGAAATACAAATTGTCACATATACACCTTTGAAGCTATGATTGTTAAAACAGTAAAGCTGAAAATGTACAGAGATCGACTGTCTTCAGAACCTTGGTAATTCATGAAACAAATCTCCTTCAATTTCACATGCTCCAGACCATGAAGGTTCCGCTACAGAACCTGTCTTTTTGCACTTTGACAGCCTTCCGTTCAAAAGTCTAAACCATTCGTGAAGCCACTCTTACTTGTTTGTCTGACAAAGAACACATGTATGAGACGAGAAAATGAAATACTTGGATAAAGAAAGCTTTGGGATACCCAAGATTAACCAAAAAAACATTTTGGCTGAGACCAAAGACATCTTTATTTCTCACAAGTCCTTACATTCCAAACATCATTCTTGGGAGCATACTGGGGATTTCCAATCACATATGGAGGTGGATGAACAGGATTCTTCAAGAGTGGAAGCCTGGCTGGGGCATAATCATCATCACTATCACAGTAGCTTCCTTGATCTGGCCCGAGAGCCCTAAGAACCATGGACAATAAGATTGACAACCCCTGTACACAGAGAGTGGATGCTATCACCCAGTGTAACATAGATGATGTGAATGCCATTTTACTCAGGATGAAGTAAACAGAAAATGTACATGATGAATGCCATTTTACTTATAGGATGGTACATCGATCACAGATAAATTTTTAGACCTTTTTCTACAATGTTAAAATTCAAAATATATGGACTGTTTTAATAGTATTTACTTTGTAAGTGTCCCCAAGTCCATATTTTTGTCAGAGTCAGACACCAGGATGTGCATCGGATTCTGATTCCCATGTCCGCTGGTCTGTGTCCATGCTACACTGTTATACCTCATTGAAATCATTAGACATTCTTTTTTTTTTGACCATTAATCATTCGATATTCTTTGTTACCTAGTGGGACCAAATGAAGGATTGAAGGGTCATTCCTACGAGTATTCATAGATGACATGGGATGTAGGTTTTATGATGCATGGAAATGTAAAATCTGGCAGTAAATGATGAGATGAAAAAAAACATTGACGAATAAAAAAGCTATGTTTGTAACCTCATAATCAATAGGAAATTACAAGACCTAAAAAATATAGGGTTATCATTTTAAACTCTTCTTCACTTTTCTAACATTCCCCTTAAACTCACCCTGACTTAGTGATACATGGGGTTCAAACCTTGGAAGCAGCCAATCTGTATGTGCAAGGGTAAGGCTGCGCATATCTGTCTCTCCCCAGACCCTGCATTGGCAGGAGCCTCATGCATAGGGCTGTTGCCCTTTTATATACCTTCTTGTCAAGTCAACATTAGTGACCATACAGAAGCGGAGTTGAATAGAGGTGCATGTTGTAATCTTGCAAATGCCATTTGTATTTTAACAGCAAATGTTTGACAAGGGGGTCTCTGGGGGTTATAGAAAAGTCGGGGCAAGTTTAATAGAAATCAGAAAGGGAGAATTTCAGTTAGCAAGCCTAAAATATATTTGAGCCAAACAAACAATGGTAAAAAAGGAAGAACCTCAGAAGCATTTCCCAAGAATCTATAAATTACTGTAATCCTGTACATGTATGCCATAGATTTTTTTCCCATTAAAAAAATCTGTGCAAAACTTGGTCCACAGTCAATTCCTTTGCACTGCTACCACATGCTTAATGGCTTCACAATTAAAAGACTGATTTTACACCTTCTGAATTTAAAACCCCAATTCCTGTTTGAACACCATATTACTTCCACTGTCTTAAATGAAAAATATGCATTTATTTACCTGTGTGCACACAATAAACAAGCCTATCCACTTGCAAATGTCAAAGTTTGATTTTATGAAATCTTTGAACTCATTAAACTCCCCTGTAGGATCTTCTGGAAAATCCTGATGCAGAAGGAAGACATTCCAAACAAGTATCAACATGGCTTATCTTATGGACAAGAGAGACTGTATAGAAAGGAAAACAGGGATTTGTAAAGGAACCATACCTCCTCCCAGTGATTGTTTAGAAAAATATCTGCAGTCACTGCAGCCTCCAGTAGGAGAAGCAAAATGACAAATACCATATACTGTGCCCATTAAGGTCAGCAATAACTGATAATCAGCACAATAAAGCTTTATGAAGTTGAGAGAATTCATGTTTCCTTGAATTTGTAGTACATAAAACAAATTACTTGTCTGTAAATTGCTTTACCTTGGAAACAAATGTATATAAAACAGCAGAACAGGCATAAATAGTAGCCTTTCCTTTCAAAAGTTAAATTCTCGCTGGACTAACTAAAATAATATAATAACTATTGAAAGATCAAAATACAAAATAATCAAATATATTCTAACCCTGCATATTAAAATTGGGCAATTTATCCCCATTCCATTACATTCACATCTAGTTTGGACAGTGATCAAACATGAGAACATGACAATTAGATTAATTTAGTTTCTTGCTACTATGTTTCACAACCCTTCAACAAGGACCATGATGAACCAGTTTGACAACAATTAAAAATCGTGGGAAAGACAAAATGTTTCTATTTCATGTGGATCAGATTGGACCACTGTTGATTGTGTGGACAAGGACCAGGATATTTGCAGATTATAAGAACTGGAAAATCTCCAGAAGAATGTTGGATATTTTGAAATATCACAACTATAATATACTTCTTAATTGTACTAATTCTGTTCCTTACTTTTTTAAAAGTTTCCTCATGGATTTCTCCATGTCTATGTGTACAAAATTGTGAGAGATTATAATGAAATACATACCATTTTTGATAAAAAAATACACACCATTTTCTCCCTCAAAATTTATGTGAAGAATTCCATTTATCTCATCTCGTTCTTCCAGAGTCCAGACAGATGCCAGGCTTTCAATAGGAAGTCATTGAAGCTTATCAACACTTCTGTAAACCTCAAGATTCCTGGAATTCTCTTATGCTCAAAAAATCCATATAGACTTCATAGTCCATTACTAATTCTCTGATCTCTCAAGTAACATAATTCCACTTCCAGTTGCATGAACTCAATTAGTGACACAGGAGAAAAAATGGTTTTCAAGAATTAGAAAAAAAAAGAGAGAAAAGAACAAATAAAAAAGAAAAGAGGCAGCAGCAACTAGGAAAGATTCCTATGATGAAATTAAATGGATATCAAAAGTACTAAATGCAAAACAATATATAAAAGAGAACTCTTGAATGGAACCAGGGATCCATCCAAGAAAGTAGCAATCCCACCATCCTTATGTGGATAAGCTTTCACCCACATACTGAAAATTAGAAGATACAACATACAAAAATATCTCCAGTCAAAAGCTTAAAATGATCATGTGTGGCAATAACATTGGACCTAGTAGTGGGTGCCAGGTCCAAACCTGTTGTAACCGCACCACTTGTGCATACAAGGAAATAAATTATTATTGTCTAATTAGGTATTAGGGCCAAATAACAGGTTCGGCAATGCTGCAGAAACCCATACTCCTTGAAACCAAGTTTGTACCACTAGAAAACCTAGAGAAACAATTAGTTTATAACACTTGTAATTCAAACATATAGGTAGGAAATTCACAAAATCAATTTGACAACCTACAATAATACCTGAAACCAAATTTTATATAACCTCCAAAATTATCAGCATGCATGTTGTAATATTTCAAGAACCAATTAACACGATTCTATGTAGGGGTGGGTGATCATGGGCTAGACCAAGCCAGGCTCTGGGCCTATGCATACATATATGTGTGTATGCTATATACATAGTTACATACTATACAATACAAATTGTGGGCCAGGCCAGGCTGGGCTAGAAATGATAACCCCTAATTCAATGCAATGTTGTACTTATAACTATAGGCTCTCTACCATGTACATAGCGCACATGCAACAGTAAGCAGATTGTAGATCAGTGAACCAAACAAAGCCCTGCTGTTATAAGGTAAAATTTTCAAAGGTCATTACCCAACTGGATACAATCCTAACCTTTGGCAAAAAGATTACTGCCAAATATTCCGATTTTTAAGATAGAGATGTAAGGTAATCAGATTTAGAGTTTTAGACATTATCTTCATTCAGGAAATGACCATTCACAAAATGGTAAATACCAGAGCTTGTTGAGATCTTGAAGTGATAATTTAGACAAGGCAAAATGACCTGTATAGTAAATACAACTAAAGAAGCATAATTTCCTAATCAGAACAGAATAATGGAACTAAACACAGTTCAGAGAAGCAAGCTACTATTTTCAGCATTTAATGGATAAAACAACTAATTCAAAATAAAAGAAAAAGAAAAAGAAAAAGGATACACAACAAAGGCAATGGCCATTTGCGGTCTCTGCAGCAATATGACCAGAACATGTGAGCACGCACAAGGTGATTCCAATGCCAAGAAAAGCATAGATAAACCTGCAGTTTTTGAGAGAAAATTTTCAGATTGACTTAATATTACAAATAGATAAAGCATTTGAGGAAAAGAAAATGCAGAAAATGAAGAAAGCTAGTAATTTTCAGCAGAAGAATACCAAATCAAATAAATCAACATCTGCTCGGAGCTAAGACTACATGCACAGCCTGAACGACGGTATAGCATACTTCTACTATTTTGGGACAAAGAAACTAGAATGGCCTACTTTCCTTTTAATCAACCAGCAACTGAAGAATAATTTATCTATTCCCTTTAAAATCTGAGTAAGATGGTCGCTGTGATAAAATGCAACTCATTAAAGAAACAGAAAGCAGAAATTGCATATAAGCATCCAAAAGCAACCAATTCCTAAGTCCTAAAAGGAATGAATTAATAAATTCACTTTCCTTAAATCAAGCAGCATTCCAGTTACAAAGATAAAATCCAGACACGGCGAGAAAGGCAGAAAGAAGATTGCTTAATGGAAAGATGCTTTACCATGGGGGAGAATTGGAGTCCCCAAGAGAAAGCCCACCCATGTGCTTATGCCAAACCCTAATCATCCACAGAGAGTACAAGATCATTGCTATTCCAACCATCCCAATAACGGAGTTTGCGATTTTGAGGAGAGATTGGAGGCAACTCCTTATGATACTCCCCATCGATGCTAAACCTCTCAAGTCTCAATCAAGTAACACCTGCAGAAGCCCTATTTCATGATATTTTTTTTTTTTTTTTTTGAAGAAGAAGAAGAAGAACAAGAAAAAACAAGAAACCCAGAGAAAGGAGAGACAGGGAATCACTACTCCACTATCAAAACCTCTACCTTTTAATGGATTCAGAAACTGATAAAATCTGTGGTTGTGAACTTCTTGGTGTTTAAGCAACAAAAAGGATTCAAAAGAAATAGATCGTTTTTTAGTTTTTCTAGATGATTGAATGATTACAGAACAGCAAGAAAAGAAGAAACTTGGAAAGATTTTTAACAAGTAGCTAAGAATAAACCATCGAAGATTTTATTCTTTAAATTACAGATTCTTTAGACGCCAAAATATTCAAACCAAAAAAAAATATACTAAAAAAAAATGGAATAGAATTTAGAATTTAGAATTTAGAATTTATTTTCTATCACTGGCTGTCATGGCCGCCTCGCTGGCATGATTCATACAAGTAACCGGATTTAGTCAGTGTGCAAAGCCCGTTGCATTGGGAATATCTCCGTAATTGTGTCACCAAGATTTAAAAAAAAATAAAGATTTTTATCTACCAAAAAAGCTTTTCACAATCTTCAGATTCTTAGTAATCATTTGAAACCATATCATTTTTTACACACCACCACTGTACAAAAGGCTGTATAAACAGCGTAAGAATTTTTAGGCCCAAAGTATAGTTAGGGTGGGTGGCGGATCGGAATTGATGCTAATCGATGGATTGACTTTAGTGTATAGAGTGTAGATTTTTGAAATTTTGAATATGAGTAATTATGAAAAACTCATCATGAGTTTTCTGCCTTTCTCTTAAACTCGCCATAATTTTTTAAAATGTCTAAAATTCATCATGTCACTAATTTGATATTAAAAAGACTAACGACTATTAATATATTACTATTTTAACTTTCATAAAAAATATAAAAAATATACATATATTTTAAGATTCAGACATGTAAAAAAGGAAAAAGTTCAAAAAATATTTTCAAATATAAAATACATAAAAACACAAAAATTGCAAAAATATAAAAAATTATAGAAATTGCACACAAAATAAAAATTATTTTCAGATTATAGATATAGAAATTGAAAAGCAAAATCAGAAAATAAAAATTGTAGAAAAAACACCAAAAATTATAGAAAAACACAAATTGCAAATAAATAACAAAAAATATAGGACACTTTATAGATTATAGAAAATAGAAAAATGTAAAAAAAAACAAATTATAAAAAACATTAGAAATTATAACAAAACACAAAATGTAAAAAAAGAAAATTGAAAAATGAAAAAGACCCTTTTCCTCTAACTCACCATTCAAGGGTGATTTGGTCATAAAAATTGTTATTTATGCTGATGTGGACACCTCTATTAAGAAACATTGACGGTGCACTAACGGAAAGTGAGTTTTGGAAAATAAAAGCTTACTGACATGGTGAGTTTTAGATGTTTTGAAAAATTGTGGTGAGTTTAAGAGAAATGCTGAAAACTCATGGTGAGTTTTAGTCAATTCGCCTTTGAATATTTATAGCTCTGCAAAATCAAAAATCTTCATTGAATCTGTCTGTACTTTTATGCAACGAGGCATCTGTTCAAGAAAGACACGTGTGCGAAATAAATTCCCTATAATACCAAAAAAGTAGGGTAACTAAAGGGAAAAGTTGATAACCCATCAACAATCAGCTAGGATTCTTCCAAATTTACGAAGTACAATAGCGGCATCATAGAAAATCTCTCTCCCATGTCCAAACAGTTTATTTGGTTAAAAATCGAATCGAATAAATTGAAATTTTTAAAACTAAAATTTTAAATAAAAAATTGAAATGAAATCGAAACTGAAATTTTTAGTTTGGTTTTCAGTTATTTTGATTAAAATCGAATTTCAACACTATATATATTTTAATATATATATATATATATATATCATATATTATACAATGTATATAATAAATTATATATTTTAATACATAATGTAGGTACATGTTATTCACCATGACTAGGGGTGGATTCGAGGTGAGCCAAGCCGAATAGTACTTGACTAGAGCTCGACTCAAGACTGTTCTACAAGGCTCGAGCTCAAGCTCGAGCTCGGTTCGAGCTAGAACCTTGAGCTCGAGCTCAGTTCGAGCCAGAACCTTGAGCTTGAGCTCAGCTCGAGTAAAAAATTCATAAGCTCGAGCTCGATTTTGAGAAAAAATATTTTATAAAAATAAAAATTATATATAAAAAATTTTATTTATATTTAAAATATTAAGAATTATAATATTTTTATTATATATTAAATATCAAATATATATATATATATTCGAGTCGGCTCACAAGCCGAGCTCTAGTAGGCTCGAGCTCGGCTCGTTTAATTTAATAATCGACCAATTGAATTGGGCTCAAGCTCGGTTGAAACCGAGCTGAACCGAGCTCGAGTAGCTCGTAAAAAGCCCGGCTCGTTGCCACCCCTAACCACAACTACAATAGCCTAGAAGGTGCTAAACCAATGCTACAAAAACACCCACAACGAGTTCATAACTCATCACAGATTTGTAATAAGCTCAAAGCTTGTACAAACTTGTGATGAGCTCAAAGCCTGTACGAGCTTGTGATGAGCTCAAGGTCACCATAGACCTGCAATGAACTCAAAGGCATAGTACCGAGGATGAACTCGAAATCGCCATGGATCTGTAATGAGCCCAAAGCCATCGCAAGCCTACAATGAGCTCAAAGCCATCACGAACCTACGATAAGCTCAAAGCCATCGCAAATCAGTGACAAATGAAAAAATATGACAATTGGTCGATGTCACTCGTGACAAGACACCTAGTAGGATTAAGAGAGATACGTAAGACTAGCACCGACATCATCCACGCCATGTCAGTTTAGGATACCTACAAAAGGAAGTAGCATACGTGTATTATGAGAATCCTCAAACAAAAGGAACCTCATCCTGGAGAGATCTCATAAGGCACCTGGCGAAACCTTAGTAGTGTCCCCTTGACAAATGACACCGAATCAAAGATTCCCTTTCCAAGTGGGAATCAAACTCTTTTGACTCCTTCCTTTTAGGACCTCAGGATCTCTCCCTATAAAAGAAGACGTGAATCATAATGAACGTACGACTCTCTATCAATACCTTAGCCTACCCTTTGCTTCTAGCCTTCCTTCGTCCTTCAAAGAGACCACCGCACGTAGCCTTACCACACCACTCACATTAGAATCTCTGGTTATCCCTTGATCACAAAGGATGGTCGTCCGTAGCATCAATCTTTCTATTTTTCCCCTATTCCGAAAGAGCAATCCAATGAACACAGAAACATCAACCCAGAAGTCGGAGACTAGACCTGTTAGGAGTCCGCTGAACAGGTTGACATTGGAATCTTATCCAATAAAGTGTATGACTTTGAGGATTGTTTCGACCAGCTGGAGCAGATGCAGGCTGAGATGAGAAACACCCTACAAATGCTTCTCCAAAGGACATCGGCAACCGAGCATTCCCCATTTACCCCTGCTGGCCCTTCTGCATTTGTTCCTATTAGCCACCCCGTGAACTTGAACCCCAGTATAAACAAGCATCCTCCTAGAACCAACCCCGTGCCTGTGCAAGACTCAGCACAAAAAACTCGTTTCTCCGCCATTAAACAACCCCATGTAGTCCCACAAGACAACATGGTGACGGAGGCACCCATAGCCGCATTGAATTGAAAGAATATGTCCAGGGATTAATGGAAGAAAGCCACAACAAAGCCCAACCCGCACTTGTACTCCAAAAACCCTATTCTAACCGCATCTTATACAAACCATACCCCTCTGGCTACGTTCCACTGCAGTAGTGGCCTCAGTACGACGGGCAGAAGGGAAATCCGCAAGAACATGTTAACAAATTTGAAGATGCATTGGGATCATTTGCCTTGGATGGAGATCTAAAAGTGAGAGAGTTCTCCAAGTCTTTGACCGGACTGGCATACACGTGGTTCGTCAATCTGACCGCGGGGAGTATAAACTCTTGGGCAGAGTTGGCGAAAAAGTTCATTTCCAAATGATTCACCTTGGAGCGGAGTTTGATGATGGCAGACCTATGCAACACAGAGCAGCGTGCCGGGGAGGACCTCTTGGCTTATGTCACGAGGTTCTAGAAATTAACTCATTCAGTCTTCGATGAGCACGTGACATAGAAGAGCTTCATTGAGAAATGCGTGCAAGGAGTGCACCCAGCCTACAGAATAGGCATCGAAAATATTGAAGTTGAGACCTTCAGTCAGCTGTGGAAGTGTGTAGAAAGAACAACATGCATTGTCATAAATACCACACCTCATTCAGTCCTAGTAGCATCACAGTATACAAGAAACAAAGCGTACACCATCGACTGAAGGCCTCAGAGCACCAAGGGGCCTAACCAGAGACCTTATTATCGTGGCAACAAGTAGAATCGGCGGAATGGCCCACTACCTCCACCCGTCCCCCTTTCACCTGTAGAAAAAGTGAAGTGATCATGATAAAGAACAAGCTGGTGGAGGAGCATGTAATCGGCTTGCCACCACCACCACTCGGAGTTGACCCAAAGAAAGAAAGGCATAGGGGAGGTGGTGCAATTACCACCAGTCACCAAACCACGATCTGATGGACTGTTTTACCCTTCGACGGTTGTTCGTGCAGAAGTGGAACAGGATGATTTTGTCTAAAGGAAGTCGAACCAAGTAGAAACCAACCCCCTCCCCACAACATCCCTAAGGAGGCAATATCAATGTAGTAGGAACATCAAGAAGCGACTGTCATGTTGATCTAGCGGTTCAAGCAAAGTCTAGACCTGCAGCAGTTCCTCATTAAGCAAGCAGCTAGCGCTACGACACGGTGACTTACCATCAGGGCGCTAGTAGAGGCGTTCAAGAGGATGCTCGAGCCTCAGCGCATGGACAAGTCCCATGTGGATTTCACCCCAAATGATATGCTAGCCACAGACCCCAACCACAACCGGCCCTTGTACATCACGGCCAAAATAGGGGGATATGAGATGCGGTGCTCGTTGATCGATTAGGGAAGCTCTGTAAACCTGATTTTCCTCCACACCTTGAAGCTGATGAACATATAGAAGGAAACCGTTAAAGGGCTGCCCATGGAACTTATTGACTTTAATGGTAATGCATCCGTCATAGAGGGGTCAATTGAGTAGTCGGTGGCTATTGGACCGTTCTACATCAACCAGGAATTCCAAGTGATTTATGGTAAAATAGCATATCATGCCTTGTTGGGGCGATTGTTGATACACAACTTGGCACTGGTCTCATCCACATATCACCAATGCATAAAGGTCAAGCACAGAGGTCGCATTGTTAGAATCCCATCCACTCGTGTCCCCTTCGACAGAACGGAGACCCATCTCCACGAAGCAATCTATTACACAGAGCTCACCGAGTGGTGTGTCCGGAAGCGTGTTGTTAACCACTTCAAAA